TAAGTCTTTAATTGTTTAATTCACTTTAAGTAAAGAATCTATCTTGCTTCTTTAACCTGATTTAAGTAATAAATCCTTAGCACTTTCCCTTCAAATGATGCAGTAACTTTTTCCCCCTACTTTGCACTAAAATGTGATAGCATGTTCCTTTATGAAAGAAGGTTTCTACAGGGAATCCAGGGCAGATGATCCCTTCAGGACCAGTGGTGTGAGTGGTGATACTGGGAGGGGAGAGGGAGAGGGGATAGGAAAGAGGGAACCGATTACAAGGAACTATATGTGACCTCCTCCCTGGGGGACAGACAACAGAAAAGTGGGTGAAGGGAGACGTCAGACAGGACAAGATATGACCAAATAATAATTTATAAATTATCAAGGGCTTATGAGGGAGGGGTGAGTGGGGAGGGAGGGGAATAAAAGAGGAGCTGATGCCGGGGGCTTAAGTCCGGGGGCTTAAGTGGAGAGCAAATGTTTTGAGAATGATGAGGGCAATGAATGTACAAATGTGCTTGACACAATTGATGTATGTATGGATTGTAATAAGAGTTGTATGAGCCCCCAATAAAACGATTAAAAAAAAAGGAAAAAAAACAATCAAAAGAAAGAAGGTTTCCTTGCCAAATGTCTGCTGGAAATGTCGTTCACTTCATGTTCTTTACAATGTCCCTCAGATACCGACATGTGGGCAAAGAAGAACCTACCCAGCTCAACAAAGAAGTGGTTCTATTAAGATGCCCTTCAAGAGGATGAGTCTTCCACCCGGAGTGTGAATCCTCATTTCCAATGTTTCAGAAGCTGATTAATTATAATGGCAAATGACAATTCCCCAAAATATACTCCATAAGGCTTGCCCCCACGTTGAAAATGTTATACTTGGGAAAATGTTGTAAAGCTATGTGTCTTCTAGATTGGTATCCCATTAAATGATTAGTGTGTGCCCTACCTACAATACAAAGCATCCAAATCTAAATATAAGCACTTTCACCCCCTGCTCGTGCCAATTGAAGCCATCAAAGACATAGTTGGGTAAAATTACAAGTTTTATGTTAATAGAAATATGTGGGATCCATTTTCCTCCGAAGGAAATACATGCTGTTCTCTTCCCTCTCCACCTTCCGATGCTTTTCCAGTTCTCTCGTTGCCACAGTTAAACTCCTATCTCAGAGGGGACAAGAGTATCAGAAATCAACCCTCGAAATTCAAAAAAGGGGGGGAGGGGCCAGGAGCTGCGTCACAAATGAGGTATAGACCAGAGAAGAAATGGAGTTCTGGGTCCATTTCTGGCAATAGCAATGTGTGCCGACACTACTCTTCTTAAAATCATTTTAGAAAGTCATTTACTCATTGCCCTCAAGTTCATTCGGACTCATGGCAACTCAAAGTATGACAACGTAGAACTTCTCTCAAGAGTTTTCTTGGCTGTAAATCTCTGTGGAAACGGATTGCCATGCCTCTCTTCCCTTGCACTGCTGGTTAGTAAATGTAAAGCATCAACCTTTTCGTTCGCAGCCAAGCACAAACCATTGGTGCCATAGTCATTCTATTGCTGTCAGCTCCCATGAGTGCCACCAGCGTCAAGATCCATGCTGTGATTACAGAACGTGTTTGAATCCCAAGAGAATAGGCCGAGTACACCAGCCTCTTCCCAAAAAGAAGCCTGCTGTTTCTGCTAGGACCCATTCCACCGCCAAATAACAACCTTGGACAGTGTAATTCCTCCTGAAATGTCTTTGATGCTAATGAAAAGATTAGGGCCAGAGGAATAGGCTAGTATAAAAAAATCGCTGTCAAAGGAAAAAAAAACAATGGTTCAAATGGGAAAAGATAGAGAAACAGAGGAGGGGGAAAAATCAAAATCAAACTGCAACCATTTCATGGTTCCATCACTTGAGTAGCTAACAGCAGTGCCCTAAGACACATGGGCTAGTTTCGAGGGTCAGAGAAAAATGCTACTCTCAAAACAAGGGCGAAGTAAATGAGTACCTGTTAGAGTGCAATACAGATGTTATGAAATAAACAGTGAATGAGTGAAATCGCAAGGCTTCTGAAGCATACAGTAAGCACCTTCAACCACCGTAGAAGAATCCAGCTGCCAGGGAAATGCTAACAGCTGGCTGGCTTAGCCTCTTCATGTTGTGTAACATCGGATTCCACTCAGGTACCTTTTAGGGAACAGAAGACATCATTTCCTGACTGGGAACTTAGGTTACTTTCCAATCTGACATTTCTCCTATATTAATGATTTCTCTACTAGCTACTTACCCAGTAAGAGGTCTGCTGTGAACTACTGTGTTTCATACTACCACCTTCTCTGAAGCTTTTCACACTCCTTTTGTCCTCTGCCTAACCCAGATTCTTGGCAGGGTAGGTGTTAGTAAGCCTTCTTTTCAAAGGAGACGAATGATGGAGAAAATAAAGTAAGCAGAAAGACAAGCGCACAGTCAGTTGCTGCAGCAGGACTGAAACCAAGGTAGGATTTCCAGCAAGCAGATCAGTGAGGGCTGGCGAACGGCCGGCCTTCCTACAAGGGCCCTTTAAAAAATACGAGGACTTTATAAATATATAAATCACTACCACCCCCGTCGCCCTTCAAGATTCGTTCAAACAACACACGTAGTCTTTAAAGTTAACAGGAAATGACAGGACCGAAAATAACTGGGGTGTGGCTTCACCTCTGAAAAAGCTTTCCGACTGTGAATAAATGCAGGCAACGCTGGCCAGACAAGATAGCACCGGGCCAGGATTTAGTAGCTGCAACAACGGACGCGCCTCATAAATACAGTGACACCTTCCTTTCTGAAAAGAAACTTCCACTGCCTGAAGCCGAGAAGCCCAGAGAGAGCAGCAAAGTCACGAGAAACCCAAATTGCTGCGACCGGCTTCTTATGCGCTAACGTGCTTAAATACGAGATACAGTCATACATTCAGAGGGCCGGAAATCACGCGTGTTTCATTGAGTTAAGGGTAATCTTCGAGGTACACAACAGGCAATCATTTGTAATTTCGCTACAGAACGCATTTTGCCCACGAAGGCTGTGATGCTAATCTTCAGGAGTATGCCTAGCAACCACCCAGCCTCTGCCTTTTAAAACCATGTTTCAGACCCTCCTATCTTATGGCAGGCTACCAGTGGAAATTACCTCCCACCCCAGGGTCCAGAAGTTGAGATTCCTGAAGGCCAGAGAGCTGCCACAAACACCCGCTCCAAATCAGAATACCCAAGCCCATTGCCCTCTCGCTGACTCCGACTAATAATCAGGCTCTATAGAACAGGCTGGAACTGCTCCACAAGGCTTCCCAGGCTGTACTCTACAGGCGCACATTGCCCCATCTTTCTCCACAGAGCAGCTGCTAAACAGGAACCGCCATCCTTCGGGTGAGCAGTGTAACCACTGTGCTACCACGGCTCTGGCTCAGATTCGATTTATTCTGATCTGACAAACAATTCTAGTTTGTGTCCTTTCCTGACTGCTTCAGCTGTGCAGTGGCAAAGCAGAGGGCAGTAAGGGCACATTTTGACAGCCCTGGAGCAGGTAGAGAAACTGAAAACATAAAAAGATGACACAATTCTAGTGGTGAGGAGTCATTTTGTACTAAGGTTTATAAAGCAGAAGGCACTGGCCATATTAACATAAAAGAACAGGGCAGGATTTAATGTACATACGATGACTCTGATCCAGAAAAATAATAAAGGTTATGTTTAGTATATATCTTGAGAGAGTTATGAACTTTTACATCAAAATGCTTAAAATGATTTAGCAGTTTAAAGAATGTTTTGGTTAAATGAACAATTCCCCAACAATGGCAGATAAATGTTGGCTAGATAATTTCAAAAAGAAAAGAAAAAGTTACTAAAGATTGTGTGGTGTGTATAACCAACACGTGGGATGTTTGATATCTTTGGGAGTGGCAGGAAAACTAAGTTATAAACTGAAATTTTTCCCCTTCACTGACTATTTGGTAGGCTTTTCTCCTTTAAAAAAATTTTTGTTACCAATCTTTAAAGCCAAAAGGGGGGGGGGTATTTTAGTAGTTTCCTCCCATCTAATGCTAACCCATCCATCCAGAAGAGTTATTTACACAGCTGGTCTTGGTATAATTCCCTTCTTATAAAGAAGTGGTTTCAAATGATTGTTAAAACTCAAGTTCAGAGAAGGCTTGAGCTTAAATCTTAAGGCTGAACAAAAGAGTCACATAAATTAGTGCCTGTGTTTAACAGATCTTACTCATTAAAAGGCAGAAAAAATAACTATGTAAACGCCTACCAAAATCAATATGGAACACTTTAGGTTTTGTTCGTGGAACAAGAACAGGGCAAATCTAACAGTGGGGGGGGGGAGTGGGGGGCACTGGAATCAAGGTACTGATATCCCTCTCCAAGCGAAAGCTATCACATCAACATCATTTCACAAGATCTGTAAATCCTTTCAAGTCTCAGAAAATGGATTAAAAAAATCAAACACAATACGTGTCTTGAAATTAGTAACAGTGGCTTGTGATCTCCCAGGGCATGTGGACCAGGAGGTACCGTTATGGATGCTGTCAAAGGGGGGGCCAGAAAGATCTGATCTCACATTAGAGGACGGTCGGAGATCCGACCGGGAAGAGTCTACCCAACTCCCTGCCCACGCCGCCCCAGAAGAGTCCGTGTAAAACCAAAAAGATGGGCTCCAAGTCCTCTGGGAGAGAAGGCATCCTCACCCCACTTAGATGCCCCACCCGAGCGTGGATGGCCGTCCCCAGCTGCCGGTCTAGGTGTAACAGAAAATGCCCGGGCTCCCTCCCCGTTGAGCCGCTCTCCCGGGGTGGGGGGTGGGGGGATCCCCGCCTTAGCCTCCTCCACACCCCGTCCCGGTCTCGCTCCAGGGACGGACGCAGCCCCTCATCCCCGCTCTCGCCTCGCCCTCCGGGTGCACCTCCGCCCGCCGGACCGCCCGCCCCGGAGCCTTCGCGCAGCCGTTTCCCGCGGGCCTGCGAGGAAGGCCCGGCCCGCTTGGCACCTTTGACGACGCGTTCTGTCGTGGAGAGTTGGCCCTTCCTGCGCCGCCCGGACATGGTGCTCGGTCTCCTCCCCACGCCGGGAGAAGCCAGCCCTGCGCCTCCGCACAGCCCCGCCCTTGAGCGGGGCGACCCCGGCAGCCCGAGGCTCGAACTCCACGGTCAAGATCCCGGCCCACAGCCCACTCCCTCCGGGCCGCTGGCCGCGGTGGCCTCCGCGGGGGACAGTCGGGAGCGACCGAGGCGCGGGCAGGAGGAACCTGGGAGCCCGAGGCTCGAACTCCACGGTCAAGATCCCGGCCCACAGCCCACTCCCTCCGGGCCGCTCGCCGCGGTGGCTTCCGCGGGACAGTCGGGAGC